AAATCGCTTACTATGCGCGGTCACGAAAGGGCCCGTAAAAATAAATACAAGATAAAGTGCAATTATGTCATATACACATCCAAGCTAATACATTAAATATTTGTATCGAATTAGATCTGTTTGCAAAAACAAGTAAGTTGTTTACTGCTGTTTCTATATGTGCATATCAATTGACGTCACGGTATACGTTTGATACAATCAGTTGGGTATACGACCTTTGACCTCTTAGCAAATACGACAGAACCACGTCCACTCATATGCTATCTTTAGCGGAGGGAGAAGTGGAAGATATCCTGCAATAGTAATGGATACTGTAGTGTTGCCGTAAATAACCCATGGTAAGATACATCCTTCATGTGATGCTCTTTTGTTTGTCGGTGTGGCGATGCTCTTTTGTTTGTCTATGTGAACCCCCGCAATTAGTTTCCATATCCGTTCATTTTTGCTAAAAATATTGGCGATGTTCGGAAGTGAGAATCTCATTTTCGCGTTGAAAGCATTTTCATTTGTGACTGCATTTGAAAAAGGATGACTTGAAGTTTAGGAATTGTCACGGTAGTCCGATGCAGCTCATTTGTTATAGCTGAGATTTGCTACACAACACGACCCCAGCAACGCACACACAGGTCTATTTATCATGACTCACTACGCAGTACATATAATACCCCCCCCCCGTTTGACGTTAGTCTTGACCTCACAGTTGTACGAATTGACGTGGCTGCGATTTAATAAGGTGGGTTAACCTGGTCACATGGTTGTAAAATGAACAGTAATGACGGGTTGATATATTCACGTAGCTGTGAACAAAAACGACTGGTCATCATAACCACATAGGTGTGAGCAACCTGGTCACGTAACTGCAAAAAAACATAGTCGTTATAATCACGTAAGCATGGCGTGTTAACCTGGTCACATGGCTACAAACGAACATTAGCTCAAAGGCTGTTAACATAGTCCCATAGTTGTGAGCAAAAAACAATGACAGGTCGAACTGGCTGTAAACACAAATATTGACTGGTTAACCTGGTCACATGGCTGTAAACATAAAATAACGCCAACACACATACCCTAAAATATACGTCACTTTGTTAATCAGACATGCCCCGACTTAAATCCTCTGTTACCAGCATTAGTTAGCCTGCTAGAGCCTGAGTACCCCGGTCCCCATTTCCAGAATACAGAATTACCTCGCAGGTCGTCAGATACTGAATAAATCAGTGATGCCTAGTTTACGTGCAACAAACAAACAAACGTATGGTAAATTATTAACGATGAGTTTGCACGTTGAAATCCTTCTGCTGTCATGTATTCGACCTGTTGATTATGGATCTGTTGACTAAGGCCAATGACACTACAGTTGAATGAGTTCATTTCAGCGGGCATAGTTGATTAACTACGCCTATTACGAATCAACAAGTTCAGGTTGGTGACGTCATATACTCATCCGCCCCATGAATTCATTGACATATTTGTACTATTACGTTACCTTCCAGTTTTACAAACAGTAGTCTGTATCGAGACATAGCTGTACCACTAAAAGAATAGTACATGCACCTCGGCATGGCCGTGCTACTACAAGTCAAGGTTCATCACTTGAATCAGTGTAGTAAATTTCGGGAATAATCTCGTCTGTATAGTATCGTACTGAACGCTGCATCCAAACCATTATCAGACTGGTAGCGAGTCCGTACTCGTTTAAATTGTACTCATTGCTAGGGGCATTTCATTTTGAATCGGAGGGCAGACTCTGTGTGAAAAAAAATAATGTGAAATGCACAGGTTTAATTGCTCTCCCAACTGTAAATAAAAAACTCCTATTCGGGAACAATAATGTTCTCCCAGAAAAACATCCCTGCCAGAGTAGTGTGAAAAAAGTGTGCAATAAATCAATTTCCTCCAACCCCTCTCCGAGATATTAAATGAGTCACTCCTTATTATGAGCATAACATTAATAGTTGGCGTGTGTACACATGCATTTGTACATTTTAATACAAACCATACATTGTACTAATTACAAATGTACCACGTGCTCGGACATCATTTGGCGATACTGAACATCAGACTCTCCCCGAGTAATGTAGTTGGACCAGTGACGCGATATTTGCCGATTAGAATACATACAACAAACCACAAATCGGTGAAATTCTGATTTATCCATCATCACGGTAAAAAGACTGCACAGCCTCGTATTTTATTTGACCCAAGGCAGAAAATATTTATTTTATATTTTCACCTTTGTACCTACATATTTACGTGTATTTATATTGTATTTACTTGGAGATTTACGGCAAGCGCATCGTTATGAACACTGTGAATCGAACGCGTTCACTTCGACAACGACGAATGAATTAATATATTTTTTACATACAACTTAAGGTAGAAGCCTACTCATAAATGAAAATACCCAGAATTTATTCATTTTAAATAAATTTTTCGAGAAATTGATGGTTGTATTTTAGTGGAAGTCGCCATTTTGGCAGTATCATAATGCTTTTACCATAGGTACCTATGGCAGAGATATTATGCAATATCTCAAAATCTAACCTGGTGATATATGCTGAAAAAAATCATATAGTGTTAAATGATGGAGTACTTTTTGTTGTTCCTAATTATTACAAAAATCGGGGTTTCAAAAAGTGTAATATCCATTTCTTATTTAACATTGTGTTCTAAGAAATTGTTCTAAAAATAGCGATTTTCAAGAAATATTAGGACAAGTTTCTCAGAACACTTAACTGTAACACATGAAATAATGCTATTTCATTATACCATAGGGACGTTAGCTTCGTGATTTTACACAATAAACCAATGAACACTGTCATGTAATTCATGACCAATTTTGTCAACAATTATGAGTAGGCTTAGACCTTAAACTACAAAATTGTGAATTAACTTCTGTTTGTCTGCACTAGACGTATGTACGTCAATAATCTGGTCGTAAAATGCAGATATTTGTATCAACTCAAGCCACGTCACTACAATACAATAACACACGCATTCATACGCATTGATACACACAAAGAAGAAAAACATTTTTGCACACATTACAAGTGTGGTCCATATATTTTCTTTACATGTTCTGAACAAACAAGTAGAATCTTATTCTAATCACTACTTGATATGGACATGTATTAATTAAGGATGGGTGCTTAAATGTTTGTTCGAAGACGCCCCTCCAAAATCAAACTGAAATCTTTTTTGTGTCAGCAAAATTTGCCTCTCAAAAAGCAGGAAATAGCGCTTCAGAGGGTCTGGATTTTAAAAATTGTAAGGGGAGCATGCTCCGGACCCCCTAGTAACTTCGGCACGAGTATGGTGACCAGATCTCGCCCCACATGCAAAATTTCGTGCCGCCCCTGACAGGAAAATAATGCAATTATAATTGTTTCGCTTCCACAGCATGAAGTCCAGCTCCATTACACACGACAAGGTACAGCAGAGTGAGGGATTTGACAGCGAGGAGAAGGGACAGCGCGAACTTATCAACGACAAGCATTTCGTAGAAGAGGCAACAATGACGTCATATAGAAAGGATGACGGCGCACTGTTACCAGGGGAAGCGGAACGGAAACTACAAGAAACTTCTTCCGGTAAAATCACATCGACCGTGGTACGAAATATTGCGATATGTTTCGCCTTTGTGGCTTTCGAGACCGGCAAACAAGTCGTGACCTACGGTACGAAAGAGTATAATAACGGCAAATATCCAATACCACTCTCAACTATAGTAGTACTAATAGAGATGGTTAAACTTCTTATTGTTGTTCTAATGTTTGGTTACCAAGGTGGACTGAAAACAATAAAGTTGTCATGGAGATTCGCTATTCCGTCTCTTCTGTACGGGATGAATAACAATATCTACCTGTACGCTCTTCACTTCACACCCCCGCCGATATGGAACGTTCTCATCCAGTCTCGCGTTATGATGACGGCGTTAGTTTACCGTATTATTTTCAAAAGGATGATTCCTACACTAAGATGGGTTGCGTTGTTTCTTCTTGTGTTTGGTATCGCTTTAGCCGAGTTTTCCGGCGCGTCATCTGGTGGCGAGATGGAAGGTTCACAGCTCACCGTTATACTGGGAGCTATCTGTCTCAGTGTGGTAAGCGCAGGCTTATCAACGGCAGCCTCAATATATACAGAGGTAAGGTTATCGCTGTATTAAAGCGTGGTAGTCGTCGCGCTGCGCTTGTGCGACATTTGTGTTAATAAACATTGATTTTCCCACAATCCAATGCGCTCTTCTAATGGAAATCACGAGTATGAGGTTTGACCTGGGCGCGACTTGCACTGATTACCGCCGGTGACTCCTTCGATACCCTCCAATCACCTAAAAATTACCTAATGAAAGCTTGGAATTGTCTCAGTTTGTACTCGCTGATCTTTGGCACCAGTCAAAGTCGCCATCTTTGTTTATATGAGACCCATATACTTCGCGCATGCGTGGCGCGACGACTACCGCGCTTTAATCTTTGCTCCATTTCTTCTTGTCCTATACTCGCGACATAATAACAACACAAAAAGTCGAACAATCTAAATGGTTGTAATATCCAGATGTTTCTCAAATTCAAAATCGTCGAAATGTCTTCAAACTCAGTCACAATATAATCCGATTATCGTGTAAATACACGCGTTTACACTTGTACACACATTTCGTATAATATTTGATTAGTAAGGCTTGCTTACTACATTTTTATGAAGTGTATTTTTGATATGCCTTGAAAAGTTTGGTTAATTGACACGTGCAATTTACAATAGAACATATACTGTCATATATTACAAACTATTTCAAATTGAACGCATATCGATGAATCACAGAGAGCGCCCTCCACAAGTTAATGATTATTCATATTATTACATGGCCGCCTGGTCGCCATTTAATTTTAACACACAATATCAGAGTACGCTCAAATCAAACTTTTAATAATACGTTGATTGTTTGAATTTAAACATGTATACGCCACTACCATGTACAACCACACACGACTGCATTTGACTACAACATTTATTATAATTCTTTCCAATACATGCATTAAATGTTGATTTGTATCTACAAAACATCCTCTAAAAAACCTTTTCCCATTCTACCGCATGTGGCACACTTTACTGAATACGCAAAATTGCAAAAAAAATAAAATAAATAATAAAAAAATGCACGAGGCGCAGTTTTCAAACTGGTGCATTCGATGGCGAAAGCAATACTGAGATCTTCATCGAATGTACCACCAACTTGAATATCTTCCGTTCACGTGATACTCTGCCCTACTACGCCATAATCTTGCAGGCTGGTTCGTAGTTCAGGAGTACTAGGTCGAAATATTTATGCGATTGTGTCGTTTTTCAAGACCGAACAGAAATAATACGCTTAACCGGATATTCACTTGTGGTGTCCTAGCAAATTGGTTTGTTTGCTTGAACTATGACGTACACAGACACAGACAGACAGACAGACAGACAGACAGACAGACAGACAGACAGACAGACAGACAGACAGACAGACAGACAGACAGAACACACGAACTATGCCGCGAACCTAACAATACATATTCTATTTAATTACAGTACCTGTTTAAAACTGATAGAAGACCATTCTTTGAGCAGCAGATTCAACTGTATTTATTTGGAGTGCTAATAACCGGCGTATGGGCCACGTATATAACGAAAGGAAACCCATTTGTCGTGGAAGGGAACTTGTCCGTTACACTACTGTGGTTGTTGATTCTAACCATCTTTCTCGGTGGCGCGGGAGGCCTCCTTGTCGCTGCTATTATTAAGAACATTGATAATATTGCCAAAATTTATGCATCCACTATCGCTATCCTGGTCACAGGTGTGGTGTGTTGGATTCTTTTCCCTGAAAACTTCCAGATGACCGTCACTTTTGTACTGGCGATATGCATGATTCTAGCCTCGTCCGTACTGTACGAAAGAGCCAAACCCAAAGAACCAGACGAGACATCAAACAAAAATGGATCTAAACCTACTGTTTTATCAAAGGAAAACGTCTCACTAAACAGTGCACCCGAACACAAAATATAGCGCGTATACGTAGTACCTATTATCGCATTATTATGCAAAGTGTACTTGAATTAAAGCAGAGGGGTCGTCGCCTGCGTATGCTATTGACTGGTTCCCGCCTCAAATGTCATGGCGTACCAAGCCACAAAAGACCGGTAACTCGTAACGAATCCGGCATTCTGATTGGACCATCACTTTCTCATTGCCACTTCTACTTCCCTAGTTCATCTGACGTCAGCGCTTACGCTCGTGGCCCTAAAGCAGGGGTTTCGAAAATTGGGCGAATAAAACACTGTTTCTTTTGTTATAAATTTGCACAGAAACAGCGAGAAATGCCAGAAACATCTCAAATATGTAAGTCTAAACAGACAGAATGTATGAGCATGGCTTTATTGCAAAACGGAACTTGGGAATGTTTTCAAATTACGTCACTCAATCACGTGCCTTTGGGCTGGAATCCTGGCCCAGTGGAACAATATGGCGATTACTAATTACCTGCTTCCTACGCCGGGAACCTGAGCGGAATGCGACGATAACAACGCACGCTAAAAACGCAAAGGCTCAAGGGTAGACGCATGTTTGTAAATCCACGACACGCCATGGTCGTCTGTCGCATGCGCAGGCGACAGCTCCCCGCTTTAAGTAAAAGTGACCGTAGTATTCTGATTGTACTTGGTAAATGGTTTTCAATCCCATCTTCTTTCAATGTGTTATTACCATGCAGGAACCAATGGTTTAAGAAAAGAAAACTGTAAAAAAGTGTGGCCCCTCACTGGCTTGGTGACGCAAAGCAGCCACATAATGTAATCATTGGCTGCGTAGGGAAAATAGCATAGCCGTTTAAACCACGTAGTTTAAAAGGCGGTAGTCGTCGCGTCGCGCATGTGCGACATTTGTGTTTATAAACATTGATTTTCCCACAATCCAGTGCGCTTTTCTAATAAAGTAACATGTACGAGTTTTGTCCTGGGCGCCACTTGCACTAATTACCGCCAGCGACTCCTTCGATACGTTCCAATCACCAACAAATACCAAATTAAAGCTTGATAACCTCTCAGTTTATACTCGTTGGTGTGCGCAACAATCAAAATCGCCATCTTTGTTTATATGAGACCCATATCTCGCGCATGCGTGGTGCGACGACCACCGCCCTTTAAACTACAGTTTTGTGAAACATTTCCAAACTATTTCCATTGGTTGCTGTACCCTTTGGTGGATATTCATTCTTCGGACAATTATATTTACCCGAAATTCAACTTGCGTTCACGGTGTAGATAATGGAATATAACTTTAACTGTAGATAACCCGATGCAACTAGACTAAGTGCTGAAGCATTCATACGTTACATGTGATGTAGCTCGGGCACTCTCGCAGTGACAGGAGTCAGTCATCAGTGACTGGAACCCGCAACGCCCTCAACGATAAAGAAAATTAACTATATTATAAAATTACATTAACTGTCCTCTGCAAAAAAAAAAAAAAAAAAAAAAATAACAAAATTGAATTATTTCAAAAAAACGAAATTCAATGAACGGAAAACAAAGAGGTCTCTACTTAAGTATATTGCGTCACGTGTGTGTTTGAAACGTTTTCCCCCCAATTTTGACACATAGTTTCATTCACTAAAATAAAATATTTTAAGTTTTTTTTACAAGGTTTAAAATGATTTATTTTGAAGTAAGTATCTATGCGTCGTGTACATTTCACGGAGGTACAATAAAGATGTTTGTAATTTAACACTGCTGAGTGCTGTATTATCAAAATTGTGTCAATGCGACCATTGTGTGTGCGAGGGCGGTGTGTGTGTGTGTGTGTGTGTGTGTGTGTGCGGGGGGGGGGGGCTAATACTAGTATTCCCTCTCACTTTTTATGCAAATGTTAAAATGTTATAACACCGATCTATGTATCTGACTGGAAGGAAGTTGTGAGCAATTTTCAACATAGATGTGGGAATCAACCGCCTTGAATACACCAGGCTTCATGGAGGCGTGAATTAGTTTTTTATACGTCATTCACAGAGCATTTATTCCAAAAGATCCACGCGCTTCATTGAAATACAGAACAGATGACCATGCCTCATCAACGAATGGCGATTAATCTAGAAGTTTTCAACCATATTTGAATTTTACAAACATTTATGAATATTTTATATAAAAAAGCCGGTGAAAAGGCCAGTAATAAAATAAATTAGCAGGCGTCAGATGCTTGCTGCGCGTCACAACTTTATTGTTGTTTGTTGTCAAAAGACACCATGTGATGGCGTGCATCTATTTTATGGCTACTTTAAATACATATTTAAATAATTATTGCTAAAGATCTTCGCCTTTCATTGAAATCCAAAAATGATGCTTTCATTGGAAGTGGAAAGCAATTGGTATGGCTCATGGGTCTTTGCAGATTTTTTTTTCAATCATTGACTGAATGATTTACACCATTCGACGCAAAAGATAGATTCCATCAAACAGTGATTCGTTCACTGAAATCAATTTAAAAGAATGGTAATACAAGTAGTACCACTATAGTTTGGAAGAGGACGTTAAATTGAGAAAGCAAGCTAGTTTCAAAGGCGATGCAAAAGGGTAACTGGCCGCGGAGGAGCGCTATATTTATTCATTCGTTAAGCCATGTGATTGGTCAGGTTGTTTTCAATCGCCGTTTTAAATTTATAAAGATGTCTTATGAAACAAATCATGAAATCCGATGTACTTTTATTTTAAAACTAAAAAAAAAAAAAATTCAGTTGTACACACTCTGATATTCGACTGTCGCAAGACCAGCAACAAAATATTGATTGTTCAAAATTGAGACGTGAATGTAATAGCAGTCATTCTGAATGGCACTGTGGTGTTACTTTTACATATACATAGCATTAGCCATCGCGCCGTGCCGTCTTTTTAAAACCAGCATGCAAATTTCATATAACAAATGTCGCTCATTAATAATCATTACATCGCAAGCTGTTGTGACAACGTTGCCTGTAAATTGTTTTATTAACAGGACCACAACACATTTAATAACAAAAGCAGCAACACAAGACCCTTATTTTATTTTTGGGTACGAATCGTTCTACAATCCTCGACTGATTACTGCCGTTGGTGGCGTGGTTGAAGGTCCAGTCAAGTCGATGCTTGAAGAACGGGTGCGAACGACGGTCACATGACGTATATCGATGAATGTAATGTCATTCAACTCGACTACAGTGTTTGGTTGTGTAGTTGTTAGTCGTCTAGAACTTAATACCACGTCACTAAAGAGTGCAACTTGTAGAAGATAGCCAACACGTATTACCTTGAACCTTGAACGTGGCATCCACAATGGCCGTGTTCAAAGTGACGTGGATGAAAGACCTCTGCAAGAAAGATACACGAAGTTTTATTTTATCTGTTATCGTCAACTTTCAAGTTAGTCCACCAAGGAATACGATTCGAGTCGTCTGACGTCATCGTCCTATCCCCGTAATAGATATATCTACATATCTCTCCAAAAGAGGTGTTAAGTTGTTTGATATAATCTGGCGTAAAAACTACATCCGGGTATGCTGCCTGGAAATTTCGTATCCATACATGAAACGTAAAATGATGGGCTGGCCATGGGAATTTGCCAAAAAACAGCGTTCTCCAGTGGTTTGAGTTGGGTTTCATCATACTTTCATTTTCAATGTGTACAAGGTGTCGGTGTTTCCAGGCCAATTTATTCTGATTAAAGACAGAATTACACGAGTAACAGAAGGAGTTGTACTCTCTGTAGCTATCAAGAAATAGTTTCAGAAACGTGGAATTTGAAGAAGTGAGTATGACTCCATTATTGAGAGTATACCTGCTCGGTCGACCTACAACGTAGTCATATTTTCGTAACGAGTCGAGCGGGGCTACGACAAATATATCAGTGTCGAAATAAACGCCCCCGACGGATGAGAGAATATCCAGCCTGGCGACGTCAGCCCAGTGCTCTCGAATATTTCGGTTTAGTTTACGACCAAATATTTCAGTGGGCGGATCTCGTTGTACAACCTCAAGTACGGGGACAAGTCTTGCTTCGTCCCACCATTGCCCCATTGGTTCACAGTCGGTGTAGAATACAATCCGGTCTGGTTTCATTACCTTGTAAATGCTCACAATACTCAATAAATGTATAAAATTAAACTGGTGACAAGAGAACCATATCAAATGTGCTACGTTCGGTACTACGTAATAATCGTGTGGTTCCAAGGTGCCTTCAAACGCAGTCTCAGGTAGGAGAAACCCCAGAGGGCCTTCGGAGATATTCACTTTTAAATACAGGAACGACCCAGCTGTATTGAGGACGTATAGAGCGATACAAGACGCCGTGACCAGTGTGCAAATACCGACTTTCTTCCAATTCAACAACCACATAAATATGCCGAAACCTGATGATTTCATAGCGCCACAGCAAATCGATGATATGAATAAGCAGTGCCTCAAGTTATCAATGTTTAGCACACAGAGGTTAAAGTGGATGTTTGCGCAAGTCAATAATTAACAGGTGTCATACGACGTCAACATACAGTGCATGCTGGGAACAGACAATACATTTACGACAACGCAGCAGCCCATTTTATTCGAGTTCAAGCTACTCAAAGGTCATTAACTATTTGTTTTTCAGGAAACACTTCCGCGGCGAGCAATTTTTACTCTTTCTGTGTTAACATTTATGTAGCAAAAACTAAAACAATTCTTCTTGTACCACAAAATAAAGATGTCAGACACTTTTTGTGACTGCTGTGGAATTCAACGGAAACATATTGAACACTGCCAGATTTCACAGCGTTGGTATATGTTTTGTCCCAAAACGCCATGAGCCAACAGCACCACCAACGTTCGATTTAAGAAAACATCAACACGCACTCCCTCGAAACCAAAGAAAAAAACCTTAAAAATATATATTTTAAGGTCTATGACCAAACTAACTAATACGAATAGCCTCTTACAAATATATAAAAGAAAGCAAAAACCAAAGAAAACAACTTAAAATTATATATTAACTTGAAGTGGAAAGTAAAATGTTTACTCAACTGGAAAATAATTTTCATCAAAAATAATAACACATTTGTGCACATAATAATTGAAGAAAACAAACAAAAATAAAAACATTATTCATCAAAAACAAAATCGACAGTCTGTGATAATCATCATTCACGATAATTCTGACACAACTGGCACGTACACCTATCAGAGACTGACTATCCAGGTTTAGTCTCAGAGGGTACAGTATACTAAATAAACAAAAACAATTTTCTCATTTCATAAACAGAATCTTGTCAGACAACTCCGCATCACTATTAGGACTTCCCTACGTCGCAGCACCATTGGGAAGTCCCAACGTCAACCCACCGTGACCGCCGCAGTAGCACCAATGGAACGCGGCCCGACGTCAACCAGCCTTCTGTCGCAACAATAGTGTGCCCCTACGACATTTAATATTTAACTACACTCTCTCCTGTTAGAACTTGTCTTAACCCAGTAAATAGTCTGGCGAGACACCACCAGAAACTAGTTTTTGATAAGAATATGTTGTTTCTCGTCACTATACTATACTACTCACTGAATCAAAAGAGGGCGCTCTTGTTGCGACGTCTCTTGATGTGCATGATCACGGGAGTTTCTATCCGGTGGTCATAATTGCATTCCTGTGTTCCTACAACTGTGAAGGTTTACATTTAGACAAAGTACAGACGTTCTAACAATTTCGCTACAATGGCCCGCGTACGTTGTTTCTTTGACATCTCCATCGACGGTAAGCCGACAGGCAGGATTGTATTTGAGGTAAGTACCCAATTATAAATATACAGTAGTTTTCCCGACTACTAGGTCAGTGTGTTCGATTGCAAATGTCGCCATTCTTAACGGTCAGATACCGTACTAAATAACTTACACGTAGACACTTTCATCTCTAGCCTCGGCAATACTGAACCCCGTTCTACTGAATAATTTCTCGGCAACAGTGCGAGGATTGTTTACGCCTGATTTAATTTCACCAAGTTACGAACATGCAATGTACGTGTGCAAGTAAAATACATTGATGTCAAGTTTGAAACTATTCTTAGCGATAAAAACTATGCGTGTTTCTGGAAACCGTGAAAGTAAAGCTTTTTCTTAAGTTAATCAAAGGAGACACAGAGTACAATTTACATAAGTAAAAAAACCAAAATGGTTACAGGTTAAAGACGTTATTAAATATGCATATTTGTTCAAGTTATAAAGTGAAGAAATTGTGACATGGTTCATCTAACGCATGCGCACTGGTCATTTGAAACATTCCCTGATGCTGGCACTTTGTATTTAATACAAGTGAAGTGAACTGAGATGACATTTAATATTGCTGTCACGCAGATGCATTCTACAAATCCACATGCATTACATTAGTTGCAGACGCATGATTGTTTCCACAGCTTGAGAAAGTCATTTTCCGTTCACTGCGAGATCCCGCGGAATGCGTGAGAAGCGCGGACCGAACGTCTGCGGCAGAAATCGAATGATTTGAATTTGAATTGTTGCAAATGCGGAATTTCAAAGAGGGACATGATATTAAGATGCATTTACTTCGTCAAAATTGACCACCATCAAAAGAGTTTGAGCGTGGGAATACTTTCGCATTTGTCGAATCTCACGCGATAATATGACGCAACTATGAAACTATGACAATGTTTGCCCTGTTTTTACATTCGATCACGCATATGCGGTATCTCGCAGTGAACAGGAGATGGTCGGGTTAGACATGCTCACTATCCTAACCCATCATCCGCTCGCCGTAACTTTCATAGTGATTTCGACGTTTTTCAATTCACAATTAATTGCAGATAACGTGCAACTGTCGGTGAATGTTTTAAAGTTTACATCCACAAATAACAATTACTAAAGTAAAAGTAATAGTTTCATTGATACTTGATTGTAAAATTAAAGCTTTAATTTGGGGCAGGCAACACTTTTATTTCAAACTGGCAAAAGTAACGATTATAAAGCAGTTCTAATATAAACATCAACAAGTACAACAAAAACAATATAATACTGTAAAAAGAATAATAAGAACAAGCGAATAAAAAAAGACGAATTGACATCATTTCAAACAATTTAGTTTTTTTAGCTCAAATGTGAATTCAACTTTTCAATAACAGTGTATTAGCGCATGCGCCTGAGATCGCAGTACATACCGTGTTACTGATACATGCATGCTACCCCGCTGTTTTGACGAGTTCATGAACTGTTTTAATAAGTGTACAGGCGTATCTCTGCAATATGTGCACTCCACAGATACAGTAGTATGTCACGTGACATTTTACATTCCAAGCATTTCAAAAGTTACATAAAACATTTACTTCGTGTTAGAGTACTGACCTTAATGATGCCGCGCCAGAGTACCGACCATACTAAAGTATTATCTGTCTCATAAACCATACACTAATTAGAGCGCGTAGCAAGATAAATCAGTAAGTCTTCATTCATCAGATTTACCATATCGCGTGAGCTGTAATGAACGTCATCTGGTGCAAACATGGAACGAATCCGTGAAATGGGGACGCGTGCGTAATTCGCAAAGCGTTGTCAGATTTGTATTCGCTAGATAAAGCGGTGATTTTTTATTTACGCTTTATTTTTACTCAAAGACGCAATATTCTAAGAAAGCATTAGTTCCGTATACAATGTTTTCGCTTTTCTAGAGTCTTTGTTTAATTGTTACCGATGCATATGTATTTATTGCGATACAGCAATCAGAAATACTCATCTATATTACATGGCTATATATCATCGTGTCACGTGGGTAGGGCATTTACATGATGTATACTCTGAAATCAAGAGCGCTTTTAGCGTTATAAATTCGAGTTTCCCCAGAAAGCATCTCTGACAACATGACATAGGACACCCGGAAGTTATCAGTGAACGACGTATCAAGAAAATAACATAGCGTATCAATTCAACGCAATTAATGAACGCATAGAGGTGTTTACACCCTTATTGTACGTAGTGGCCACGGGTTGCATATAAAACGCATTTTAAATGCCGAGTATGTTTAAGAGTCGGTGGCCCCTCTGCGTTCAGTCGCTTAATTAAGATCGGGATTTAATCCGTAAACAGAAACTGCCTACACAGCTTATTAGTTTCCAGTAAAACTAATACATACTATTTAAGTGAGGAGTGGATGTCAATAATTTAGTGATTAAAGTATATGTGTGTATGATTGAATATAAGGGAAAGAGAACAGAAAGAACGTCACCTGCAATGACACACAAAGAATGATGACACCACCTGCACTGAAACACAAAGAATGATGACATCACCTGCACTAAAACACAAAGAATGATGACATCACCTGCACTAAAACACAAAGAATGGTGACATCACCTACACTGAAACACAAAGAATGATGACATCACCTGCACTAAAACACAAAGAATGGTGACATCACCTACACTAAAACACAAAGAATGGTGACATCGCCTGCACTAAAACACAAATAATGGTGACATCACCTACACTAAAACACAAAGAATGATGACATCACCTGCACTAAAACACAAAGAATGGTGACATCACCTGCACTAAAACACAAAGAATGGTGACATCACCTGCACTTATACACATAGAATGATGACCTCACCTGCATTAAAACACAAAGAATGGTGACATCACCTACACTAAAACACAAAGAATGATGACATTACCTGCACCAAAACACAAAGAATAATGACATCACCTGCACTAAAACACAAATAATGACTACACCACCTGCACTGAAACACAAAGGATGGTGACATCACCTGCACTGAAACACAAAGGATGGTGACATCACCTACACTGAAACACAAAGTATTATGACATAACTTTCACTGAAACACAACGAATGTTCACCTCACTTGCACTGAAACACAGATATTGATGACATCACTTGCACTGAAACACAAAGAACGATGACATATTTCCATATATAATTTGTATTATAGACTATATACATGTATGCATTTTTAGAGGAGTATTCATTACAATACACACATACATGTTGATGTAACACATTCATAATATCCAACCAGCGCAACACTGATATAATATCTACAATTTTGTCTTGCTATTTCATGAAAAGCTTCATATGGCGTCTTCAACGCATAGAACACCGATTGCATAATCTTATCTTTTAAATCTTTGCTATTATCGATATCAGTACATGCGATTCTTATAACAGCTGGATCTGTTCATCGATTACCATACGAGTCACTCACAGAACATTTACCCAGTTGTAATTTAAACAATATAGCCCACCCTTTTTCGGTAACTGTTATTTAGGAAGAAGGAGAACTGAATTCTGAATTTCAAAGTCGCAAATTGCCTGCGCGGGAGGGGGGTGGGGCTAAATTCTGAATTTTAAAGTAGTCTCTCCAGGGACGGAGTGCTGAATAGTTACCGGGAATTCAAGTTTCAGAGGGGGACATTCACAGAGGGGGCGGAGGAATACTGAACTGTGAATTGCACAGTGCAACAAGAGGGTAGGGAAGCTGAATTATCAATATGAATATTTCAAAATGGTAGATTCAGTGGTTCATGAAATAATTCTATATTGTGCGCTGCTTGCATATGTGAACATCGTGAAATTAACCGAATGTTGTCTCTTTTCCAGTTGCGTCCCGATATTGTACCCAAAACCGTAGGTAAGTTATATAAGACAGTTATTGTCTTCGTTTTATTTAATAATTTATCTTCACAAAACAGCCCCACGTTTTTAACAGATTTAAGTGCATTGGACCACGGGAAATAGTCGTCTATTCACCTTTCTTACAAATCGCGCCCTCTAGTGCCGAAAAATTGCGGTGACGGAAATGGATGAAAGTCGTTCAAAGCGTCTATTTTAACAACTAAACTCAGTTGTCGATTTAAACGATATACACGTCATTTTGACGTTATACAAAATGTCTGCGTCACTGGAGGGCACATGTACAATTTTAAGGAAAAGTATATTTTTGTCAAAATCCGTATTATTTCTTATAACGTAACTATTTAATTATTATCATGTTCTGACATCTTTTAGAAAATTTCAGATCATTGTGTGTTGGTTGGCAAGGTTACTGCTACAAAGGGAGTGTATTTCATCGTATCATCCCAGAATTCATGTGTCAGGGTGGTGATATTACAAGGGGCAATGGTACTGGCGGCAGGAGCATTTATGGTCTGGAGTTCAAGGATGAAAACTTTATTTTGAAACACGAAGGACCAGGTATATAGTTAACATATTTCAAATATTCTCACTCACTCATTCGTGCATGGTCAATTAATCGTGGCGCAGCGGGCTTTGGATTTATTGTTAATAGAGTAATACACAAGTGTTTTATATGTCACGGGGGGCTCATATCCAACACGTAGCGTTAATATTTCAACAATAATCGCGTCCTTACAGAGACGCTGACACCACATAGTAGCTAAATCACTCCTTTGTTTGTAGGAGAGAGTACGTAATATGACAAATTCCGTGCATTCATTGAAAATTTACGGTGGCTTGTTAGGGCCATTCACTGTTTTTCGAATTTCTCACATTTTCACATGTATTTTTCGGCTTTATTTCGAATTTCCGACAATTTCACTTTAATTTACACCTCGGTGGAAATATTTAACACGCCACCGTAAAAAATTAGATATAAGACAACTAATAAATGTAATGCTAAATTTGAACAAAATTTATTTATGTTCAGATCTTGTTGGCAGGGTATGGACCAACACTATTCCTGGACTTATTACACGTGTTACTGCAATAAGTGTATACCTAGCTATACTCTGGAGGGGCGCGTAGTGCCAACACGTATTTTTTTTCGCGGTAACGTAACCATGCTTTATAAAGGTTGCTAAACAAATCGAATTTTAAATCAAACAAAAATGAATCACACCGTTATGTTGCGGTAGTATATATATTGTTTCTCTAGTTCACACTAATAAATGCTCAAAATGCTCGGATTATCACCAAAATTGACCATCCTGTTTTTCACAAATATGATATTACGTAATAACAAACTGTATTCAGCGCTTTATCAATTTTTAATGGCTAAGGACCCATCGAGACTGATTACACCACTTCTCTGCCAGTTCAGTCGGATAAACTTATATTTTTTCATGTTCGTTTTCATTTGAGGTATACTAACTGTCATATTTTTCGCATTACCTGTGTTAATGATGTAATGTGGTAGTTAGATGATTGATTATGATTATGACGTCATACTTAGCTCATGTTTTTTATTAATAGGAACTTTGTCGATGGCAAATTCCGGACCAAACACTAACAATTCGCAGTTTTTCATTTGCACGGAGAAAACCGACTGGTAAGTACGCATGCGCAGAGTAAATAACACAATACACAACCTATTTCACGATTTATACACGCGTGCTATCAGGAGGAATAAAACGCTGCAATTTTGTTTGGATTTTCATTCAACCATTGAATGCGTGGGTCTCCTATGAATTGACTGATTTCGTCCGACATGTATACAATTCTCGTGTCGTGAAACGAATTGCCTTACAGCGAGGATGACAACAGACTGTCGTCACCGAATTAAGCGTTTTTCGGTATCTCTGAGACCTCTATGAATAACGAATAGACTCGGTGGCTAGCTTTGAAACTGGTCATTGAATTATGAATTATCAGTGAGATTAAGTTATTCCCATGATTCAGATTTAAAGTTGACAGGTCAGTGATGTATGAATACATATCCATGGATAACATAAACCAATCTTTGTCCCTAGGCATTATATAGTGACACCAAAGAGCATACATTCAAAGCTCACCCAACTTTATCACACTGAGCTTCTCTAAAACGTATCCACACTTATCTGAAACGTCTCGATGCCGAATAACGGGGATGTGCCTATTTTGGGTCAACCTGATTACATACATATTATTATTACATGGTTGAATTTACATATATAATTTAGGAAACAACCATTTTAAAATCAGGGGGTGGCTGAAAGACCAGTGCACTTTTTTCGCGGCGTCTTGTTTGTTCATTTTTATTTTTCTTGAATATACCAACTTTTTTCCCGTAATACCTGGTGTATAATTTTGAAATCTCTTCGTGTCTAGATTTTAGTGTTTTAACCTCAGACTATTATACTAGTCCGAGTAGTTTGAGTTTTAATAAATCTTTCAGCCACCCCCTGATTTCCAATGTACGGTCCCTTATGTCACAAATGGACTGGGGTCAAAATATTTACTAATAACATAAAAGCAGTATTGGTCATGCATTGGATATGTATTTATACTTTGGAACTATTAGCCAGTTTTATAATAACATTAGCAAACGAGATGTACTATGACAATACAACAATCTTCTCAGGCAGACCAACAAATCACAGGAATTATTTCATGCTTAATCTTACCACGTACATTCCGTTTTTTTTTTCTAAATGATTTTAGAAACTAGTCTTTTATATTCCTCTTGTTCTTAAAAGTTGTATGAAAAACAATTTTCGAAGCCTTTGAAATGTTGAGTAATATTTGTACTTTAATAGATGTAGCAAGATATCCACCCTGTCAATAACCTAACATTACCGAGCAGTTCCGTGGCTTCGGTTTTGATTGAGTATTCAACATCTTAGTCTGTTGTCAAGCATGCGAATTGCATGTTTCCCGTATGGCAAATAGATCCCTTTCCTTTGAATTTATACGACGACTATTTTACCTGCGTTACCACTGTGTGCAAGCAAACTTGGAACATCGAACATTACGTACCTCTTTAGTTTAGTTGTATTTAGCGTACCGGAAGCAGAATTCGAATAGCTATGCATGACGGGAATAAGTCGATGCACGGCAATATATCAGCTTTCGTTCAATTAAATTTTTGGCTAAGGTACACTTAATAGAGCTTTCAACCAAATTTTGCTGACAGACATGATGATCTGTCTTTCGTTGCGCAGTTGTTCGATTCGTCATTTGAAATATTCTCAGTGCTGACATCCGCCATGCAACCGTCACTGTGAAAACAAAGGCCGAAACCTCTCAGAAAACGGTATTTTGGGATGGTTGTTGAGACTCCTCTAAACAGTGTAACAAGAGCACCCCTGCATGTCCAACATATATAAATTTCAAGTTGGTTGTTCAGGATTACTTCAAAGTAATTTTGTGCTGTTTCCATGACTTTAGCTGTTTTCACCGGCTCTTCGACCGGCTGGCGTCCATAGTCCATAGACATACATGGTACAGTGGTGCGCGTATTAGCAACGTGGAACTATATATGGGATCCCGCGTTATGCGTGAAATCGAACGTGAAAACAACACAAAGGTCATAGCATCGTGGTTGCGTCAAAGCATAACGTGAGATTTAGACTAGCCAAGCTGTGGAGATTTTTTTTCAGTTAAAATTGGAAAAATAGTTTTGCGAAAGGTCGAGTGAACGCAAAACCACCACTGAGTGATTTCGCGGTTACAGGGGATTTCGCGTTAACACCTCCATTTCGTTTTTTTTTTATTTAATTTTAAATTCAAAAAGAAATAAATCGCCCAGACTGTGCCAGTCTACGTGAGATTCGACAAACGCGAAAGTGTTTTGGGGGTATTACGGGGGTCATTCGTAGACAAGACACCAAAGGAGTCTATAAATTATGTTTCAAAATAAGCACGAGTCCCCTTTTTGACATTTCCAATGGTTAACGGCACTTGGCGTCTCGCATACCCCGTATATAAATGATACAAGTGAACCCTGTGGTATGTTCATGCATTATTAGGCAAGAATTATTATTTATACCCAATAATGTACATTTGCTGATAGTCAATTTTAACGAAGTATGGGTATCTCAACACCATGTTCCCCTCTGAATGATCGACATTTCTCGTTGAGCTAAAAACAAGAAATTCAATTTCGAAAAATCTAATCATTCAATTTTCGGTGAAGACATTTCACGCGCGCATTTTACGCAATTCGGGAGGTCTCGTCAATAGAGGACGCGATATACAGTGCATTGCATATGTGCCAAAAGCGTGTTAATTCATAGTGATACAAAATCATACGCATCTATTACAGGTTGGACGATGCCCATGTTGTATTTGGAAAAGTAGTCGAAGGCATGGACGTGGTCAGGAAAATGGAAGCGAAGGGTACCGATGAGGGCGACATAACATCAGTTGTCAAAATAGAAAATAGCGGCGAATTGAAATGAACAACCAGATTTTCATGTTTGCTGTTGTGCATTGAATTAGTTTAATATAGTATTGATGCCACATTTTTCTTTATCGACATGTTTTTATTATTTTAGGATAACGTCTCTTCTCACTGTCGTATGATAACCTCTCAATGTCATGTTATGTCATGTCATCTCATCTCATGTCATCTCATCTCATTGCATCTCATTGCATCCTATTCCATTCCATCGCATCTAATCTCACTCTAGCCAAGACAATTAGCCTATTTTCATAAAATTACCAAGATGGGAAACATCACATAACTGGAATATATGCAACATTCATAAAGTATAAACTACCTACTGAAGTGCAGTCTTTCATAAATTTCTTTCACTTGAATCACTAATTCAAACATTTAAAAAAAACTTCAACATTTCCCCGTGGAACCAGAAGTAGCAAAACATTGTTTTTGTAAAACATCAATTGGTGCAGTTTTGGGGTACAATTACTTAATCGAAAACACATTAGTCTGCGTCATCGGTGATAAATACAAACAAATTACCGTTCAGTGCGTGGTACATGACTCTCTCGATTGATTAAAACTGCCCCGAATACTTAAGTCATATAGTTTCTATATCGATAATAAATAATCAAGTTATATGCTAAAGAATAAAAGGCCGTTGTATGACTATATATCTAAATTATTCAGATCTGTTTGTCTGAGACTACTCCATTTGAACCCAGGACGCGTGTATAGCGAACATTTTGGAATTAATGTAAGAGAGTCAAAACAAGTAATGTTTCGGGGTTGTAAATGACATTTTTAATATAAAATGTCCCAGGTGCCTTCAATTGTTTCTGAATGTGATACCAAAACGATATAATGAAATTGTGTTTATATTTATGTTGTTTTCATTTTTTTTATGAAAAGTTAATGAACTCTAATGTAGTCTACTATACAGAATCAATATGTGAATTAAAATAAAACTGGGCTGGTCTAGTAATATAACTGCCTAAAACTGCTGGATTCGTTCCTCTCTTCCTCCTCCTCGCGTGTATTGTTGCTGACCAACCAAGAAACTCGAGGAACCTTAAACTCGTATATTACGCAAATGTTTTGAATTGACATGCCATCGCAGGGTTGAAAATTATATTAAAATTCACGTGACACAAGCCGCTACTAGTTATGCTGTAAGAATATATATTGGGCAAAGAGAATTACTGTGAAACAATCTCATTTTACAATCCAGAAAAATAAAATATAAACACGCTCACCTTGTTTCCGAATGCATACGTGTATCATATATCACCAACTTTTTCGCATTGAATAAGTCAATACCTATGTATTATATAACTTCATTTCATTTCATCTTATGAGTTGTTTGTCACACAATGTATAATTCATACAATGTTGCCACTTTTTGGTATGCCAAGACATCTCATATGTCATATCTTGTTATATACCATATCAATTCACGTCAGATCATGCATACCAACGTACGTGATGTGTACCACAAGTTCAGTGCACGCCATAACCCTTCGCATACAATCTGAATCATTTTACCACTTTAATTCACATTTACCAGATATCTGAAGCCGCCGACCAATCTTTTAATCGTTCGATACGTGCCTCATACGCTATAACAAAAATATGTGTGTTTGATTCAGATTGACTCGTATTCCGAGATATGAGATATAATTCTCTTCTATCTTGTATCATTTTAAAGTTATATTATGTTGAAATGCGTTTTTCTTTTCAAATCACTTAATAAACAATTAGTTCCAGAAATTGGATCCTTTTGGATCTTTTGATTTTGCAAAAAAAACCAACAACTTTTGTTTCTTACTTTCTTTGAAGATGCGCATGCGTATGCATTATTTGGGTTTCTTGGTGATGACAATGTAATTTTAAATGTATAATAATCTCTCATGACGACCTTTCCCTGCGAGGATAGGTCACATCAACGTTCCTGTTGTTCTGTCATTCATATGACTCACTATTGTATTTATGCATAATTTAATGAGGTCACATGTAATACCATGCATTACCCAAATCATTACCCCCATTGTGGTTTGGACATTTCTATAACAATAATGTTATTCAAGCTGGTAATTCATTCGTGGACAGACCACGTGACAGAAAATGTGCTTCCCAAATCATTAATCCACCCATCTTGCACATGTTCATAATGGTACAGAACTGAATACCAAATTAAAACTCGGTATTTCAGCCTTTAATCAAAGAGGAGGGGGGGGGTCGTCACCTGCGCATGCATCAGATGGTCATAGCGTGTCATTGTTTACAAACAAGAGTCTACCCATGAGCCTTTGCGTTTTTAGCGTGTGTTGTTATCGTCACTTGGGACTCAATTCCTGCGCGTGCACAGGTAACGACCCCCCCCGCTTTAATCATCCGGCAACTAGTACTGTAACTCAAGGGAATTATATGACTTTCAAGCCTCTTGCCGCTGTGCTACTGTGACTCTGCCTCTGGCACCGAAGATCGCCCGTCGAGCCGCGTGGTTCCTCTGTATGATATCATATACTATTGAGAGCAGTATGACAAAAAGGAGCGGCAACTACATATGCGCGGGAAAAAGTCTTGCAAACTCCGATATAACCTTGTCTAAACATCTCAATACTTATCATGTTTCTTCGCTCCCTGTTTCTGAAAGAAATGTTTAATGGATGACGTCAGCGAATATATGTATCTCCGGGGCATTAATATCTACTCGCACGAAGTAAAAAAACAATCTTTTGAATATTACGTGATTATCAAATGAAATAGCTTTCAAGATTTAATTCCATATGTTGTATTTGAACTTAGGGCCCACCTATAAATTTATACGAATTATATGAATTAATTTTCACTAAACTCGTGCAATAACAATGGCTATATCGTATGCGAAACAATTGAAGACACGATTACACACTGTGTAAGTAATTTTATATGTGGTTGAAAAAATAAAATTGATGGCGTTACAAAATGAAATATGGAAAATAATTAATTAACGATATTATTGCAGAATCACAAGACTGATATTCTGTACTATCTAGATTTGATGGGTTTCTGAAACCTAAACATAATAATAAATTACATTAAATTGCCATATATTAAGTGGAATCGTTTTGGGAGAGCAAAATTAATCTCCATCTATCATCACTATCTGTGTTTGCCAAAATCTACTGACCACCTTAGAGAATATATTACACATTGAGTGTCACGTGTCTAGGAGCAGTGTTTGCAACAGTCATAGATAGCACACATGAAAATAAACGACGAAAATTCAAAATCTGAATTGAATAAATTATGAATTTGATAGATGCAATATTCATTTATTATTTATAAGACGTATCAGTAACACGTATGACTCCTTTGTGCATCTATTAACACAGACAAATCAATGCATAGAATTTTCACGTAAAAAAACCCTGTCTTTAAATTATGTAACAGTGACGTGGTCCGTAGACCGTTGGGGGCGTGACTGTAATTTTACGCAACATATTAGAAGCTAGTTTGTTCGCTTCAATGTCTCATTGGCATATTGTATAGAGAGAATACACGTTGTGTATCGTCTTACTGTATTTGCGTTTATCGTGCCACATCGTAGTACAAGTCATCGTAATATTATCTTCTACGGACATTTTGTTCAAGACAATTGCGAGCACATCACTGAACACATTAACGTCGCGAATGGCAGACCTTATCAAATCACTTCCAACCGACTTTCCATCATTAGAGTCGACTCAAAAGACGAATGATTCTACGTACTATGTATACTATGAGTACGAAGACTTACCTTTACCCAAGGACTGGAGGATCGGTTTAGTCTGTGCCTTTGGGTTCAATATCACCCTATCTATCATCGGCAACGTTATAGTTCTAATTGTATTAATCTGTGGACGTACTAGAACAGATCTGAACGCTTTCCTTGTCAACCTTGCTTTGGCTGACCTGACTATGGCCACTTTCTGTATGCCGTTTTCATTTCCAACTATAATGTATGGGCATTGGATATTTGGTAGTGCGATGTGTCCAACTGTCGTCTTTTTACAACAGGTACGTAGTAATTGTTCATACGAAAATTACTAATGTACAATGTGTAATTGCGTGTTTGTACTGAACAGACTTTCAATACAATACAATACAATACTCTTGTCACATGTTACGAACCCGCGCAAAGAGTTGTAGACAATGCACAATTATTTTCATTTCATCTAAATTAAGAAATGATAGGAAAATATTACACGAACAATATAACGTTCAAATAGTTGAGAATAATAGTTACACTTGTAACTCTAAAATACTGTGACAAAAGTTTGGAAAAACAAAATACTACAATTAAAACAAATATTATATTATATTATATTATATGGTCACTCCAAGAATATAGCATTATCTTTCTTATCAACAATTACTACATTAATAAGTTTTACAAAATAGTGAAAATACAAATATAATAGGATATTTTAAAAAATAGAATCGCTTAAACCAGTTCGAAGTGAAACAATACTCTATAAAAAATGCCAGGCAATTGGTTTAGAAAATTCACACGTTCAAATGTCAAATTTACAGAGATCATTGGAGAGAGTACATGGCACTCAAACCATGTCATGTGTGGAAAATAAGAAAATAAGAAATGTCAATTGTCAAAACATTTGGTAATATTCCCAACACTGTTATACTTACTTCAAATAATGGCAAATGAGGGTGTAATCAAATATTAGGAGGTTATTACGAGGATACCTTAAAGTATGCGCGAAGACAGTACGGCGGGAGTTTCGAACGACGCGCAGCGGAGGTCGATGCGACAAACAGACGGCGTACTGTCTGAGTTATGGTTACGCTGTAACTTATGGCGCTACGGTGACAGATGTATAATAATATCTATTATAACTCGTTCGATCATATTACAATCATACATTTTTACCTTGCCCGTATCATCAAAGATGAAAGGGAAATGTATATTAAGGGGAAATAATATGTCATCGTCGTTAACTAATAACTTAACTAATTCTATTCCAAACTTTATGAAACTTTGTCACCTAATTCATCAGTATACACTCTTTCCTTAGTACGAACGACAGATTTCCTGTGTGAAAATATCTTGCAAAAATTGCGAAGTAGTAGACAAAATCGGATAAAACATTTTGACTGTTTCTATTAACGGATCACTGGTGATACATATTCAATGATCACTGGTCCCAGTGGGAATATGCATTGTTGTATGTGTTCAATGAAGTGAATCATTTATCTTGTAATCATTGGTAATA